AAACTATAATCATCATGCCTATCGCCTCTCTCTCACTCAAGTAGCACCTGAGCACGTGAGCGAGATCCTGGCAATGGACATGGAAAGGGTTAAATCTGAAAATCCTGAGCTAAAAAGATAAATTAATATAAATATTTTGTATCTAACGGGCTAATATTATTTAATTTAAAATTTATTTATTTTATAAATTAATTTTAATTAATTAGAATTTACTTTATTAAAAATTTAATGGACTATTTTATTAATTTTAGAAAAATATATATATATATATAAAAATGAAAAATATGAAAACTTATGATAATTAATAAGAAATTTTTGTATAATAATTAATAATAGAAAATAATTGACTCTAAATGAAATATTAATAAAATAACCTCAGGCGATCTCTTTATCAAAGTATATTTTTGGAAATGTAAAATCAATATTCAAAACTTTTTACCTTGATTCAGAAATCTACCTGTCGCGAAGTATTTTCTTGCACATAATATTTCATATATTTTTTATGGAAGAAATATTTTTATATTTTAAATCATACTTAAATTTATAATAAAATATCAAATAATTAAATATTTAAATATTGCGATGAAATAAAAATTAAAATTAAAAATTGTTAATTTGTTTACTAATAATAATATGTATTATCTTTATTGTTGTAACAAAGTCGAAGGACATTCGACTTCTTTACTAAAGAAAAAATTTAATTGAATTCATTTCAATATTCATTATTCATTTGAACATTCATTCTTTTATTTACAAATGTATACTTGTGATTATTTAACTTTCATTTTAAAAATGATAGTAAAAACATTTTCAATCATAAATAATCAAATCAATTATCTATATTATTCATACTAATATCTAAATATATTATATTAAAATATTATTTAATATTATAATATTACTATCAATATCATTCTCTTAAAAACACGACGTGCAAGAAAATCTATCCTGATCTAAGTAAATAAAACACAAGGAAAAAAAGTGTTACTACTCACGGGTATAATAAATACCCGCGGTCACTGTGCTCGTGTAAAAATCTACGTATACAACCAGTCACCCGTGTCGATTTAGATCTTTCATCCTACGACATGATTGAGTGACCAGAGGAACATAAATGCATGCGACTCACCAATAGATGCGAAGAATCTATGTGATATCCTGAAGTACGTCAAGTACAAGGAAACTGTAACAAAATATAAAATATTATAATTTAAAAATAATTTGAAAAAATTGAAATAAGTGGAATATATATAAAAATAATTACCTCTTCGTGTGATGGATGACCGCTTTATTCCTTGAGAGCACTGACTCTATCTTGTACCGAAAAAGAATATTTAGAAAAAAAAATAAACAAAAAAAACTACTAAAGTATACATTTAATTTATAATTGGCGAATAAACACTGACTCGAATTTCGCGAAAAATTATTATAATAAAATATATCCATAACTATTCTACTTTAAAAAATATAAAGATACTATTACGAAGCAAACACTGACTCTATCAACCGCATTGCACGCGATCACAAATATTTCCTAAAATTAAAATTGTATTAGTGAGAAAGGATAGGAAATGAGGGAAAAAAAACAATGTTTCTTATATATTTTTTGTCTTCTTGTATTAATTTAAAAGATATTGATACTTTTTAAAGATATCAATTGAATATTGATCACAAATAAAGCTATGTTATATTGAAAAATTTATTTTTCTTTTATAAATTCATCTATATTCTCTACTATTTTTCATCTTAATATTCTCAATAATTATTATTGAATATATTATTGAATATATTATTATAGTAAATATAGTAGAGATAAATTATTATTTATTATTTTATAATGATATATATCATTATAATATAATAAAAAAAATAGGAATTTGTATATATGAAATATCAAGCTTTACCACTTATACATGAAGAAGCAAAATGGCGTCCATATTGAAATCTTTCCCGCCTTTATGCTAACAATCAATCCAACCATTGCAATCAGCTATAATCTGCACAAAAGAAAATCGAAATTTTAAACTAAAAGTATAAAATATACAAAATTAAAATCAAATATATTAAAACAAAACAATAATCAAACTTAAATTTACATCTTAAAAACTCGTAATACGGAGCTCTTTGCAACTCTAACCTTTAACATATAATAATCTTTATTCTAATAAATCCTTAAGAATAATTTAGTTTTCACTCGATTATGATAATAAATGAATAATTATAAAACAAATATTAATTGCACAATGATATATGAACGATAAACTATCACTATAAAAATAAATATTACGCAGCAAAAAGATCACACACCTCAAGGAAAAATGACACGTCGTCACACTACGATTATCGATAATATCGATACCCCGCATCGCAATTTCGATTATCGAATCGCGAATTAGGGAGGGGATATGCTCGACAACAAGTCGAAACATGTCGAAATACGTCGTAGTATGACAAAAACCCAAGCAAACTAAATTTCTTGGAAAGGCTCTATTATGAAAATACCTCGAGCGATAACATTGAACGAAAGAAAAAGAAAAATATAAACAGTACGAACAAACGCAATTAAAAAGGACGTCGTCGAAATAATGTAATTTGACGAAATAAAATTTTATAATAAATTAACATTTGTTGTAATATGAATAAAAAACAATAAAAATCTATTCTAAACACATCTATTTTTAGAAAAAAAAATTTAAAATATTACCTGAAATATAATACAGGAAAATTATCAGATATAAATTGTGATGTATATTATTATTCATTCGAAATCACGAATTGAGGCCTTCAAAGAATAATCTAAACAAATAAAGAACAAAACCATGAAACAAATGCAAAAAATATTATAATTATATTAAAATAAAGCAATAAATAAACTAAAATTCTGATTGAAAAGCTTGTAATACAAGACAAGCTATCGATAACCTCAATACACAATAGACAAATACACAATCGTAGACAAAGTACAAAAAAACTCAAAAAGTTAACTAATTTCATTATTACAATGTTTAATAGATAATTGAATGAACGAAGCTAATAGCAATATAACAATAAATTCGATAAAAGAATTAAAAGTAGTATCACTTACTGCGTAATTGAAGTCACCCGTCTCAAGCTGTAACACGTCCTGTCTCGATGATCTTCGATAGAAGAATAACAACGCCTCACGCTATAGGTTCGCCTAAGGCGTTTCTAATTGGTTGAAATAATAGTTCCTTATTCGCTTAAATTGCGCGAAAATTTAAATGTTATTATTTTGAAATAGATTGATGATTAACAATTATTGTATGTATCGCGGTAAAAATAAGCATGTATTTTAATTGTAATTATATATATTATTGATTAATGGAATATATATATTATATAATACAAAATTTAATATCATTATTATAATTTAATAATAAGATTAATAAAATTATCATTAATTCGCAGAATTTAATGGTAAATGTAAAATTGTAAATGGTAATGGAATTAATAATTATAATTAGATTAATACTCAAAACGAAAATATAGAAAATACATCATACTCTAATATTATCGTTAATCACTGACAAATAATTGTAAGATTATAAATTGTAGTCATCATGCCCATCAATTCTTTTTCTCCCAAATAATAGCTAAAACAGGTGAATAACAATATGAAAAGGATTAAATATGTATTTAATTTAATAATTTAATAATTTAATTTTTTTGATTTTGAATTTTCTTATCTTTAAAATTATAATTTATTAAGCTTATTGAAATTCTGATATAAGGGGAAATTATTAAATACATCTGGGATATTTATGATCAAATATATCCAGGAGAAAAATACTGAGACTTGGTAAAGTTAAATAATACAAGTTTAAACGAAAGTTAAATATTAATTGAAATATTTCAGGCATTCCTTCGTCAAAGCATTTATTTTAAAAAATTAAAAAACAAGCAATCGATTGGAAATTTATTGCTTTGATTCCAAAATCTGTCTGCGCGAAAAGCCTTCATAATAATATTTAATACATTCTTGCACGATATTTGATTATATTATTTATTAAATTATGTTCAATTAAAATAATGTTAAAATTTATAATATGAGAATCAAATAATGAAACCGTTTAATATTACCATATAATAAAAATAAAATTAAAAATTATTCATTATTACGACAGTGATACGTATCGCCATTATCATTGTATGTATAATGACTGCAATTTTCATAGCAATGAAATCAGAGGATATCCGACTTCTCCACTACGAGGTACTTAAATGAATTCATTTCAAAATTCATTATTTATTCGAATATTCATATTTTATTTATTCCTACCTTTACTCTTTGAATAATCATATAAAATAACCTTTAATTTTAAAAAATGATAATTTTAAAAATAATATATTTTCAATTATAAATCCTTATATTAATTATTAATATATTAAAAAACATTAAAAAATTCAATATCAAAATATTCAATGGAACTAATAAATAAAATTCTAAGCTAATAAATAAATGAAATATAGAAAAGACAATATTTATAATAAAAATTCGTTATATTCATAAAAAATTCCATATCATGAGAGAACATTTTTGTTATAGAATTACAACATTTTTGCAAATTCTGAAATATTACCATTTGTTGTTATATTATTATATGAAATATTACAATTTTTTATTATAAATACAGTGTATTTTGGTACATTTAAAATGGAATATTATAATGAAAAATGTAAACTATATTAAATTTGAATGGAAATTATGATTCCAAAAATTAATTCCAACGGAGCAAGCTCACGTGGTTCAAAATTTAATCGAATCGAAAGGATATTTACGCAAGATCGAACGATGCGAACTGGTACATTCCGTGTCACACGGAGCGCCAGACTTTTGCCGGTGCAGGAAATTCAATGAGCCTCGAACAAACATTTCCGGTTCCGTAACGACGCATTCGAGGAAGCAGACGGCGCATGCAAAGTCATGCATTCCACGGGATGGAGGTGGCTGCTTTGTGCCCCGGATACAAAGAGAGCCCCGCCGCTCGTGAGATTACGTAAAGCGACACGTGTCTGTCTCCCGTTCTTCTCGATCCTAACTGCCCGCCCTTCAACTCTTTCTCGCCAAATATTTCGCCCTTTATCCTCCCTACTTTACCCGCACAAGTCGAACGAACAGGAGGAAAGTCGAGTTGGAATATTTTTCCACGTCGTGCACAACGTCCAATCGCCAATTTCGACGCCAACAACCAACGGAATATCCTTCTTCTTCCGAAATAGCCCCGTGTGAATTCCTGGAACGCGGTTAAGACACGATTCAAAGAGCCAAGACGTCGATTCCTAGCCGGCCAACGGGACTCTCGAATCTCGGGAACAATTAAATTCATTCCTTTGAGAAGCGGGAGAACTTATCCGTCGAAGGGATGCGCGAATAAGGAGCCTTCGATATTCCCGAATCGATGAAATTTCATTCATGGCGAGCCATTGGGCGACCAAAGCGGAAGCTACGATTATTTGCGCGGGTTTAAATTGAGAAACGATTCGCTCGATAACGGATGGACAGCGGGGCCGGCAGATACAATATACAGATATGGATATTTTTCCAATAACGATCGAGTTTTTACTCGAGGAGAGGGGGAACCTCTGGCCCCGGCTGATGACCGGGAAAATGATTTCCCATGGAACCGTACCGAAAATTTTCCATTTCATAAATCGTACTCGGGGAAATAATCGTGGTTGGGAAACGTTCGCGTTAGCGGCGTCGCTCGTTGTAATTTGCATACGCGTTCATCAAAATTATACACCGCGGCGGTATACACTTTTGCGACCGAGGGAAGATCGGGGCGGCAGTGAATTTATGCGCCCCGCGTTCATCCACCGCGCTATCAAACGGGCCACGCCTGTAATTCCCTTCGTTTAACCTTATTTTGCCGCGTCGCGCCCCCTCGAATCGATCCCGTTAATTCTTATCCCCTTTCGAGGAGAGGAGGAAGGGCGCGATTTATCCCGCCATTTTACGAATTCTCGAAGCCTTGCAAAGATATCATTACGGGACGATTACGATTAAAAAATTATTCTCTCGTTATTTCGTTAAATTGACGTTATTGGAGGAACGTGAGGGAAAATTTTAAAATTTTCGGGCTAGTGAAATAATTTTTCGTAGAAAAACATTACGCTTGCATCGCGAAGCAATATTTCCTCTCCTTCCGATAAATAAATTTTTTTGAGAAACCGTTTTATCTAGAGATTTATCTTATGGATCGTTTCTTTTTTTTTTTTTTTTTCTACGCGTTGCTTTCATTAATTATTACCAGACCGCGGATGTTCGTGCAAAATGAAATTTTTTGTGAACACGAATGAAGAGACACGTACTTTGAATATTTCTGCATATCATTCTGCAGATTTTTAGATGGATAAATTTTTCTAATTATTATAATGAATTTTTTTTCCTTTTTAATTTATATATCATAAGGTCGAATAATGCATTTGAATCTGCATTTCACAAAAATTGAAAATATCGATACAATTGTACCTTGATCGATAGAAGAGACAAAGATATGAAAAATCGGATAACAATCGAGTTGCCAATCAACGCATCGCTTTGCAGCAATAGCAAGTTTCCATGGATGGAAGAGGCTCATAAACCCCCTTGATCAAATAAGAGCAAGTTTCAATCGAAAGCGCGCTTCGCAAATCCCGGGGAAGGGAGGAAAGAGCTCCGTTAAGAGCGAAACACAATCCGCGTTACCAAGAAAGTCGTCGAAAGTTCGGCTTTTTTATCAGGCAAGTTGCATCGCGGAGATTAAAGCCAGGAATTGGAGGAATTGAAATAGGCGGAAACCGTGGCGCGGAAACTTTCTAATTGATATTCACCTGCCCTCCCCCTCTCCTCGTTCGTTCGTGAAAGAGAGAAACGAAGCGCAGAAAAGGGAAGGGAAAGCATCGAAGGCGAAAAAATATAAATACGGGGAGAAGAGGAAAGAGGAGGAGGAGGAGGAGGAGGAGGAGGAGGAGGACGATACGCAAAAGGAGATAACGCTATGGAGATTTTTTCCATTGGCCAATTTCGCGGCTCGAATCATTGGCCCGCGATGGAAAATTACATTTTAATTCGCGGGCTCCGATAAAGCGGAAGCGCGAGCAGCTACGAGAACTCTCATTACCTTAATACCGAGCCGAGATACTCTCGGCGAAATTGCCACGAAGGCTTAACGATAACGCTGCTCTGTGAAACCGTGAAACGGTGGAAAAGAGAGGAGAAGTTATCCACCTATAAGATAATTGAGTCAAATCGTGGTGGACGTGGATTCTTCTACGCTCTATCGATGGGGCGTTTCTTCTTCCATCCCCAGAACACCAGTACACCGATGTTTCCCATCCTCCCCCTCACCAGTGACAGATTAACTCCGTGGATCTATGAATTCTTCCTCGTTAGAAAGTCGAAACTGGAGGACCTGTAGATCCTTGAGACGAGGAGATGCGAGTAAATTGGCCGAACAACGAGAAAATTCGAAATTAAGTATTCGATCCACCCGCCGCTCTTCTCCATTGGAAACAAAAAAAAAAAAAAAGAAACAAAAGAAAGAAGAAAGAAGAAAGGCAAATAAAATTACACCAAGTTGGCGAATTACACAGTGGGAAGCGAGTAGGTGGCGGTTTATTGTCGCCGAGTTTATCGTCGGAGTATCCGGTCCGCGGGGAAGGGGAAACGAGGGGACAGGATGAAAGACGGCGTTATTTCGAGGAAAATTCCTCGAATAAATATTTTCGAACGCGCGGCAAGCAATTTCCTGCGGGGTCCAAGGTATTCGACAGCGTCCCGGTTCCGGTGTCCTGGACAACGGTGGCGGCCGAAACAGGAAGTTGCCGAAGGAATTCAGGAGGGGGGGAAGGGGAATCCAGGTCGATCCCGGCACCCCATTGTGCTGGTCACTTGGCCGACGATAACCGACTTTTCCGCGAGAATTCTGCGAATCGAATCGCGGGTCGAGCGGTGGTTGCGCGTGGCCGACCGAGCGGAAATGTGACGGGATCGAATCTCTCCCGGGGTGGACGGGAATTGGGGCCGGGTGCCCTGGAACGGAACGTTCCGCTTCTTAACCCCCTTTTCCCTTCTGATTTCGCCCATTGGCCCGTAATGGATACAGAGATAGATGGTCACGTTACACACACAACGGGGATCGTTGACCGTGCAACTTTTAAGCGGCCACGGAATCCTTGGGCCGAGACCGAAACCGCTGTACCCGAACTGTTTCCCTCTAGAACAGAAACTCTTTCCTTTGAATCTATCTGATGAAAGATTCTGGTCAGATTGGAAGAAAAAAGAAAAGGATTCTATGGAAATGGAACAGGTGTATCGTCGATCGAGGGTTGAGAAACGATTGCTATTTTTTCACTATTCCCTCATCTCGCCTGTCCTTCCTTATGTATCCGTCGCGAAATCCAATAAATTCGAAACAATTTGCGATATTGGAGGCAATTCGACCGCGTGGACAACCCGAGCTTCTCGATGTCTGATCGGGTTTATGGTGTATCGGCCAACTAAGTTATCTATGGGCGTTAATTGGTTAAAGTTTATCAGGCGGAAAAAGGTGGTCGACTCGGGTGTTACCGAGGCTGCTGGTCGCATCCGCGCCAACTGTCCCATAATCGTTGATTCCTCGTTTCTCTCTTTCCCTTTATACTTTGCGTTTTTTCTTTTACTCTTTTTCTTTTTGTTATTTCTATTTCTTCTTCTCTATCCCTCTTTCTTCGCTCGTTCCTCTTCGGCGAAAGCATTGGAAAAAGGGCAATTTCATTGTAGCGGACTCTTTCCCGAGCCAATAGAGCTCGCCGGCCGGGAAAGGCTTTTTTATTTTATTTTTACGCCGGCTGGCGTGGACACACCTCGTAGAAAGCGGAAAAACGAGGAAACGAAGCGTCGAGTAAATAGCGGCTGCTTTTCGTTACAGAATTCAACGAGCAAGAGGCCGGTTGATCAAGCGGACTGAATACAAAACAGTTTGCCCATCGAACGCCACCGCGTTCTTTCAAAGGACGCGAATACAGGAAGGAATACGTTTCACTTGTCTGAAATGATTCGAGAATTACAGGGATCGAGAGTGACCCCCTTCCAAAAAAAAAAAAATAAAAAAAAATATGGCAAAAAGG